CCAATGTAAGTTGGCCAGAACAGGGGTGATAGAATCATACTTTCTAGTGCCAGTTAAGAGACGTGCTGCGGCATTTTGGACCAATTGCAATCGCTGAAGGAGGGAAGATTGTAGGCCCAAGTAGAGAGAATTACAATAATCTAGTCTTGAAGTGATGAAAGCATGAATGAGTTTCTCCAGATCGTTGCGTGGTATATAAGGTTTAGCCTTAGAAATTAGGCGTAGTTGGTGGAAGCTGGTTTTTACCACAGTAGACACCTGTTTATCTAGTTTGAAGGAACTATCCATGGAAACTCCAGCAGCATCAGTGAGGTGGTTAGCAACAGGCCCGAGTGTGCCAGTCAGTTGCCCCAGAGGCATATTTCTATCAAAAACAACAATTTCTGTCTTCTTTTCATTTAAAGTAAGAGAGTTACGTGATAATCAGTCTTTGACATCCCTCAGACAATCAAACAGAAGCTGTAGTGAAGATGAAACATCCCCAGTCAGGTGGAGGTAGATTTGAATATCATCAGCATAGCAGTGAAAAGAGACATTATGTTTTTCAAAAATGGAGCCCAAGGGCAGCATATACAGAGAAAACAACACAGGACCCAGTACCGAGCCCTGGGGCACACCACAGCAACAAAGGGCAGAAGAAGAGGACTATTTTCCCATCATGACAGAGAACGACCTCTCAGAAAAATATGATTTAAACCATGAGAGAACATTTCCTTTAAGGCCTGCTACTTGTTCTAAGCTTGCCAAAAGAATATCATGGTCAACCGTGTCAAAGGCTGAAGTCAAATCTAATAGAACTAAGACCGCAGAGCGCCCGGAGTCAGCGATTAGAAGGAGGTCATTGAAGACTCTTAGTAGGGCAGTTTCGGTGCTGTGACGCGGTTTAAAATCCAGACTGGAATTTATCACTTATACCGTTTCTCTCTAAATGGGTCTGTAGTTGCTGAAGCACTATTTTCTCTAAAATGTTTGACATGAAAGGGAGTTTAGAAATCTGCCTGTAATTTGCTAGAGTGTTATGATCAAGGCTGCTTTTCTTGATAACAGGTTGCACGACTGCACAGCCAGATAACAGTGATGAGTTAAAAATAAGATACAGGACCCGATTGTATTCAATCCATCCTTAATGATACGAGAAGGAATAATGTCATGCAGAGAATTTGAGCTTCTCAGGTTATTAATTATTTCCTTTAAAGTCGAGAACGACACAGGTTCAAACTGTTGAAAAACCGTTGAACATTCGGAAACTGGGGCTTGATTTACTACCGGAGAATGTGGGGCCCTTAACACTGAGATCTTATCTATAAAATGATTTAGAAATTTTTCACAGAGGGTCAGGGAGGCATCCATCGAAACATCAGAGCAAGGATTAACCACTGAGTTAAAGATTTTAAACAGAAATAGTCACCACCTTTTTTTGACTGCAGCGGTTTTCAAACACGCACCTTTTCTAGCACTTATCTGAGAGCACAAATATTGGTTTCAGTCAGATGTGGTGTTAAACGGTTTTTCACCTGCCAGCTTGGGGCATGTCTGATGGCACCAATGTGGGAACTGTACAGACTACATCCAGAAGTGAGAATATGGGAGACAAAGGCTATGTTCACACTGCAGGTGAAAACGCATCAAATCTGACTTTTTTGACCCTATGCGACCCATATCTGATCATGGAATGACAGTGTGAACAGCTCAAATCCGATATTTTCAAATCTGATCTGGGTCACTTTCGTATGTGGTACTCAATCCGATACATATCTGAAGCTTTAGAAAGGGTCTGCAGTTTGAATGGCCATGTCGCATTAAATCCGTCTTTTACATCAGTGACACAAGACAGACGCCAATTATCAGCGCTGGAGAAGACAACGTGAACCATCCAGTGTAGATGTCAGTTAAACTGCTGGGAAGACAACGTTGGAGAAACGCAGGGTACACACTGGACAGGTCACCAGTCTGTTGCAGGGCTAACACATTGCGACAGACAACCATTCACACACATGGGCGATTTAGAATGACCACATAACCTAAACCGACTAACTGCATGTCTTTGGACTTTGGGAGGAAGCTGAAGTACCCGGAGAGAACCCACACAAACACGGGGGACTCAGGACCTCCTTCTGTGAGGCAATAGTGCTAACCACCGTGCCAGCGAGAGTTTAAAAGAGTGAATAAATTCATAAATTCAGCCCCATTTTTTGAAGAGGTCCATGACAGCAAAAGTCAGCATCCACAAACTTTCTAAGTCTTAATGAAGAACGTAACTTTTGAGTCCAGTCCTTTTTGATAAATATTCTCATTTTTATCTTTGCTTCACTGTCTAATCTACAATCAGCCCGCCTCCTCCCCTATTCTTCCATCCTCTTCTGTCTTATTCATCTTCCTTTCCTCTCCTCTCCTCCCTCTTTATCACATCATCCTAATATCTCCTATTTTTCTCTCCCTTCGTTCTCATCAGCCATCTGATACCCTGTTAGCAGTGACCTAGTTGGAGGGATGCCTCCTCTGGCCTGAGGCGAAGGCAAAGCAGCACACACTTAGCCGCACACGTAATGATGCTGTTGATGTTATCCCCTCCTCCCTTTTTCCAACTAAGTTCATGTACATAAATCATATCAGACCTATGTAGAATCATAAGCATGCTCTAATTCCCCTGACCTCTTTTTTAATTCATTTATTTTTTAAACAAAACAGACTCTGGTCTATTAGCCACATTCCTGCTGTTAATTA